TTTTTTTTTTTTTTTTTGCGGAACCGGGGATTGAACTCAGGCCCTTGTGCTTCCCAAACAAGCACTTATTCTACTGAGCCATCTCCCTGGCCCTCTGCTTATGCTTTCTATATTAAAATATATGGCCCTCACTAGCTGGGTTCTAAATTCTAAATCAAGTACTACAGATAACAAATTTAATCACAGAAATAAGCCAAGGGCCATCATCACCTATGTTAAAAAGAGATTTGAATGACAGGTATTTTGAAAGATGCCATATGTTTCCTAACTCTCTAAGGGTAAAGAGAATATGCCTCTACGTAGGGTTACAGCCTATAAAAGCTATTACTGTATATGATTTTTATTGTTCTATAAAAGTTGGCCTTTTTTCATTTTACATTTTTTGTTGTTGTATTTTTTTAGGAAGGGTCTACAGGGTGTTCAGGGTCTCACTATTAGACTGGAGTTGTAGTGATTCTCCTGTTTACAACCTCAAAAGTGCTGGAATTACAGGCGCACACCACCACTCTCAGTGTGCCTTGAGGGCAAGGGCAAGCATGGCAGGCCCAGGGAACGAATCTCCAGCCCCTGTGCTTGCTTGCAGGTAGCTTTAATCCGCTGAGCTATTTGGTCAGCCCTTCACCTTACATCTTAAAATGAGACCAAAATATTTGCACAGCAGGTTTTTTTGTTAGTTTGTCTATTTAAATACTGAAAATGACATTCAATTTCCTCCTGTGAGGGCTGTTGTGGTTTTTTGTTCTGTTTGGTTTTTGGTTTGTTTTTTTATCATTTCTCCAAACACGAAAATTACAATTATAAATCACTGTCTAGACCTGCCACTTCTCAAAAAAAGACCCAAGAACCTTAAAACAGAAATAAGGGCTTTTTAGATAATATCAGACAAAAATGAAACACTTTCAAATTTCAAATTAAAAACCAAGCATTAGGGCTGGGGAGATGGCTCAGTAGAATAAGCACTTGCCTGGCAAGCGCAAGGGTCTGAGTTCAATCCCCAGTTCCACCAAAAAAAAAAAAAAAAACAAGCATTACTAGTTTGGGACCGGGTGGATGTTGGAACAACCTGCAGCAGAGAGGCCCAGTATGGGACACTGCAGCAGAACTCCTTGCACAAAGGGTAGGGGCAAGACCCAGTGAGCTAAACCAGGAGCAGAACATCTATCCAGCTAGACACAGTCAGTTCACTTCCATGGGCCACAGCAGGAAGAAGCTGAGCACAGCAGCCAGACCCAAGCCAGGCCCAGCTGGTCAAGCTGATGCAGAAAAGGCTTTTGACAAAGATCAACACTCATTCATGATCAAAACCCTACAGAAAATTGGAATAGATGGCCTCTACCTCAATCTGATAAAAGCTATGTATGACAATCAAACAGCCAACATAATTCTAAACAGGGAAAAACAAATCTTTTAATCTCAGATCAGGTACAAGATAAGTATGTCCTGTACCATCACTCCTTTCCAATATAGTTCTGGAATCATTATAAAAGGAATAAGAATAGGTAAAGAAGTTAAACTATCATTATTTGCAGATGACATGATACTTTACTTGGAAGACCCAAAAAACTCCACCAAGAATC